CATATGGGTGTATTTCCCAGTTATTATGAACCGTGGGGTTACACCCCAGCAGAACGTACAGTAATGGGAGTGCCCTCCATTACAACAAATTTATCAGGATTTGGTTGCTTCATGGATGAGACGCTTGAGAATTCGATAGATTATGGTATTTATATTGTAGATCGTCGGATGAAATCTGTCGAGGAATCGGTACAACAATTGGCAGACTACATGCTACAATTTTGTCAGAAAACAAGACGTCAACGTATCAATCAACGTAATCGGACAGAAAGATTGTCAGATGTATTGGATTGGGATTTGATGGGTATGGAGTATGTGAAAGCCAGAAAATTGGCATTGTATCGTGCTTATCCTGAATCATTCGATGAAAAGGACTCAATAATAATAGGTGATGGTGATTCAGATCAACACAAATACAAAATTCCAAGACCATTATCAGCACCGGTGTCACCAAGAATTCGTAGTAGTAGCATTAGTAGTGTCAGTAGTGTTTCTAGTAGTATTAGCGGTGGGCTTGGTGACATTGGTAATTACTCAAATAATGTCGATGACGTTACAGATGGAATACAAACTTTAGGATTTAAAATGTTGGGATCAACCAATGATAGTCATGATGACATTGATGAAATTCATCCAATTCCATTAATAATAAGACGTGGTAGTACTAGTAGTGATATTTCGCTCATTGGAAAATTTTAAAATTATTTATTTATTTTAAATAAATTTAAACAAAAAAAAATTTTTTTTTGTTAATCAATTACTTTTTTAGATTTTTCGTTATTATGACCGTCTTTTGGTGAATCATTATTGTTATTATGTTCTTGTTGTGATTGTGTTGTTGGTATCTGTTGTGATGATGATAATGATGACGATGACAACGACGATGATAATGATGAAGGTATTATAGTTGTAGTTGATGTTGTTGGTAGTGATAAAATATTAGGTGATGATAATAATGGTGGTGGTATTTGAGGTGGTGGTGGTGGTAGTGATGATGATGATGATGATGATGATGATGATGTAATTGATTGAGTGGTGGATATAGGTGAGGAAAGTGTGTAGGAGGGATCTTCTTTGCAAAATAATTTTAAACGAAATGCATCTACACCATTAAGATAGTATCTATAAAGACGTTTATCTCTAATAAATCCTAAATTATGATATAGTGACAATGCACCAATATTTGTATATTCTGTCTCAAGTACAATCTTTCAAAATAAATTATTATTGATTAATTGGTCAATAGTATTCATTGATTGATTATTATTAGATTTCGATTCATAAAAATGGTTTGATATTTCATACCTCATCAGCGTTTTGTTTTTTCATCGCATTTATCGCAACTCTAACTAAGGTGGTTCCTATTTCAATGTATAAATAATATGTATGTATATAATATATATATTAATAGAATTTACACATAAATTTGCATTTTGAATAAGTATCATTATTTTTCAAATAAAAGTACAAACCAATTTTTCTTTTTCGATATTCTCTACTCACTGCCAACATTGCAATATAGCCTCGTAAAGCATTGTTTTTATGACGATCTAATTTACAAATTATCACTCCAATACATTGATCTTTTTCATCATCCATTGCCTTTGGAAGTAATAAAATATTTAATAATCATTTATATTTATTTATACTCGTAAGCACATACCATAAAACATAAATTAGGCCAATTATGTATGAAGTATCTATAAGTGTAGATTGAGTATGGTTCTGATAAATCATTTTCTATTAACTTCATAATTCCTGGAAGTTGTAATTCTGAAGAGTATGGAATATACTTGATCGTATTATCACTATTATTATTGTTTGTTGACATTTGTTGTTTATAACGTTGATCGAGTGACTTTTACCAACAACTCTTTATTTTTTAGCTTAAAGATGGTTACATTCCTACATAGGGATGGGGCGGTTCCACTAGGGAATCGGTTCTGAGCGGTTCTGAACCGAACCGAAC